TCTTCTGAAAGGTGTCAGTTCCCTTTTTTTAGTTATCTTTCTGTTGTTGTTTGTAGGCAGTACACAAATTATTGCAGTGATCCAGTGTTAATCGCCCCTTCTCAAAAGGGTTAATATGATATTGGGCATCTTCTAAAATTCAGAATGACGTGTTTGTGACTTCATGATGAGTTGTAGTAATCAGCAGTGAAGCAATCCATAATTATTATTTATAGCATAACAGCATTCCCTGTGGCCTCCTGTGTGCATCCATCATAGTCCTGTCTATTGCACTGAATTACACTCTGTGCTGTATTCATACTGTATGTGCAATGGAAGAGCTTATTGTGCGATATAAACTAGTCTAGTTGATATATATATACTTGCTAGCCTTTGTATTCTGCACTGTCTTGCTTTGCAATATGTATAACCTCAGTTAGAAGCCCTTTGCTGATAGAGGTAGCGGAAACAGTGTTGTTTTCTGTGACCTTATACTGTATTTTGCTTCGCTCACGACGGCTGACTGATCTGCTGCCAATGGGTCATAGTAAATCATTCTCACACATCTTGACATTCAGCACACTCTTGATTGGAACTTGATTTCCGCTCTTTCTGTTACACTGAAGGTCCATAAATCATATTGCTGCCATAAATAAAACATACTCTTTGTTCAGCAGTGTCAAACTCAAGTGTTTGTCACAGCTGGTACCTGAATCCCCAAGCACACCTATAGCAGCCAAAGTAACCAACAGCTGATAAGCCCAGACCACTACAACCATAAACTACTGATACAACACAGTAAAGTTTCCTAACTGTATTTGAAACACAAACAGTGACTTATTATTCAACATCCAGGCAAACTGTCTGCGTAAGATATTACAATGAATTTCCTGATTGGAGTTAGAAATAACTCATTATATACTGATGGAAAAAAGAAAGGCAACATTTTCAGGAATGAGAATACTATAGTTATAGCTTATGTACTTTCACAAAAAGTTGTCAATTTGTTTTAAGCCCTCTGACCTGCAATACAACTTGTGCAGTGAGGCATTGCAACTTGCCAATGACACGAAAGCTCGATAGGTGCACTTTTACCCAACGAGGTCCAGGTGGAGCATTTGCCTGTTCAGGTTCCCTTTAAAAAGGCCTTAATTCAAAGCTTAGGTCACTGCAAGAAAAAAGCCACACCTAGTCAGTTTACTGTGCATTCAATAATGCCTCGAGTGTCACCAGAAGCAAGGGAGAGGGCCATTGGCATGCTGCAGGCAGGCATGTCATGTGCCAGCGTTGCCAGACACTATGGAGTGAGCCGCTCCACTGTGTAACTTCTGCAGAGAAGGTTTCAGCAGACCGGCAGGACAGAGGACCATCCAAGACCCGGTCGCCCCTGAGTGACCACACCAGAGCAGGACCGACACATCAGACTGGTCCATCTGAGAGAACGTTTCAGATCTGCCACCCGTACTGCTGCTGAAACAGCCGGCAGACACAATGCCCACATCAGTGACAGGACAGGGAGGCTCCATCCTGCTGACCTTAGAGCAAGGCGACCTGTCAGAGGCCCTGTGCTCACACCTCCTAGACATCATACCTGCCTGGCTTGGGCCAGACAGAGGCTGCGGTGGACTCGTCAGCAGTGGCATCAGGTCCTCTTATCGGTTGAGTCACTCTTCAGCCTGTTCCACGCAGACAGGAGGGCCAGAGTGTGGAGGAGGAGGTGTTACGTTTCTTTTTTAACCATCAGTATATTTTGACCAAGTAATTAACATAATGCAATTCTGAGGTTTTTGTAAGAACACTGATATACTTTTTACTTAATGTGTTACTTAGAATGAGGTTCAAAAACTCCATCATAACTGTTTCATAAACACTGCACAACATGATATAACCACAAGCATAATCCTAAATCCTAAACCACAAGCATAAAACCACCTGTGAAAATGACATCACAGGTGCAATGATTCATAATGAGACATTGTTTCTGCTGTAAATTAAGAGGAGACCTCCAGGTAGAGAGAAGTCAGGTGGAAATAATGAGAGACACAATTACAGACTTTAGAGCTGACAAGGACTCCCTTCAGATGCAGCTCAGTAACGGTGATCCTCATACGTTTGTGTACAATTTTATTTTGATAGATGTTTTAAGGAAAGCATTAATACAAATAAATCTTAAAAGTGACTTAACATGTATCCACCTTAAGTAGATCCTAAACATAACTCATGACAATGTCATATTAACAAAGCAAAATATTACTTTGTAGTTCAAGTAGCTGCATCAGTATGCGTAGGCTGCAAAGCAACAAATAAAGGTTTATTCCATGCTGAAAAGAGAACAATAGAAACACAACATTTCGGCTGTGGAGCCATCTTCGGGTCATAGTTCTTGGGGTTTGTTTCAGCATGGAACAAACCTTTACTTGTTCCTCATTCACATATTTTTTCCATTTAAAAAGAAAGCTCCACATCAATTTATATGCAGCTACACAGTGCCTCATGTAAACTGCACATATAATTTACAAATATTTGCATGCAGAATGTTTTATGCTTCGATAAATACCATAAATATTTACCATACCAAACATTAATGGTGTTTTAATTAATCTTAATTTAGAATTAGGGTAAAAATTGACACAGCTTGACAACACAGGAAGACAACAGCTGCTCCCACAGAGTTTCAACTGCTCAGCTGTTCGTAGAAAGAGTAAGAGGTGGAGGACTCTAATTTTGGCTCTCGTCTGCTCAGTATTAAGTCCAAATTTTTTAAATGTTTTATTTTCTTCAAGGTCTTGGAAAAACACATGCCACCAGGGTCACACCCTGAGGTTATGAGGTGATATTTATTGATTTTAACTTGGGAAGTAAAGAGTCTTTCAACACTAGGTGGAAATCCTATCCTGCATTTTCTATCTGTCTGCTATTGTAGAGAGAATTCACACGGCTGGAATGTGCTCAGCTTCCTTTCATTCTTTCATTTGTCTACAAATGAGACACCAACCTGACTCCCTTTTCCTAATAACAGCAGTACTGCCCTCATTGTACAAACTGCAGCCATGTCTGTCCTTACTTTGAAATGAAATAAAGCTGATATGACATAGAACACTTCTCGCTTACTATCAGAGGTCTGTGTGAGCATTTGCAGGCCCAGACCGTTTAAAATCTGATACTGGGAACACTGTCTATTTCCAGCAAACAATAAGAAGATCCAACCCTTTCTAAAATCATTGCATCAAGGCTACGTTTGCATGTGAATAAAAAGCAGTACAGTTTTAATGTACCATGGAAGGCCTGTAACATGGAAGAGTCTAAAATATATGTTCTTTTCTTTTTATTTTTTGCCTGATTTGCTATTTTTCCTCTAAATAATATTTATGTTTTGATACTAAACTAGTATTTTGTATACTAGTATAGAAAATTAAACTTTACTGTAGATTCATAAGAGGGAAGGGAGTGTAAAAAACAATTACCCAAAGAAGTTTGTCATTGTCACACTAAATGGTGTCATTTTTGAAAACTGTGTTGAATTCGTTTCTAATTCAATGGCAAAATTAACCGTTTCAGGCGTTAATGGCTCGAATCTTTGTGTTCTTTAAAATTACATTTCAGCTTTTACATTTTACTGTAAAATTTTACTTACATTACATTTGACATTTTAAGTAATATTTTAAAAGCCCCCATAACTGCATGTTTAAAGGGAGCTGGAATGGATATATACCGATTTATATGCAAGTTTTATTTGGTATCGTGCACACAATGCAGTAACTGATGTTTAATAAATTAGTAAAAGGCCTGTATGTTTTCATGCAGGGAGTCATGTACTGGTAAAACTTTAATTATTTCATAAAATGGGAATAGAACATACTGTAAAAACACTTTTCCAAATAAAAAATTCTAAATAAATTTATATTAGTTTGAAGTGCACGGGACATTTCTATTCAACTTACCAAAACATCATAAATATGTATGAATTAGTGGCAGGCAGGATTTGACACCCACATTGTATGTTTCTGAAATACACCTGCTCTGCTATGCATGTTAATAATCAGCCAATGGCTGTCAACTTAGTGATACTGTGATTCATGCATTTCAAAGATATAAAACATAGAGGAAGGTGCTAATCTCTCAGATTTTGATACTGAAAATACCCAAATTAAACAAGGCAATCATGCAGTGGTACTATTGCATACAGTTGATTTTATATTAAGGAAATGGTTTGGTAACCATAAATATCAGAAATAAGACTGATAGCTTTAGGCTGAAAGACCTGCACAGTATGTACTGTAGGTAACTCTTTCACTGACACTTATTTGTCTTATTGTGAAAAAATATGATCATTTTACATTTTCTCTGTATAATGTAGATTATAATTCAAGAAATTCTGTAGTTTGTTTTGAAGTTCTTGCCAAGAATTCAAACAATAATTTATTATTTATTAAATTATTATTTATAAGATGGCTGTTTTTATCATACAATTGTTGCTTCTCATAAATTATTCATGACATATCAGTTAAGCATTTTGAATAAGGTCAGGAGAGATTTCCTATACTGTATATAGAAGTTTCAGAGTGCAATCTATTTAGTCATAACTGCTGTAAGCCTGTCTGTCCAAAATGCCCCTTCAGAATTCTCAAATTCAGCTCTGTTCTGCTAGCCCTACTGCAACATATTCTTAATATTGTATGAACTGTATACACTGTATGTTGATTTACTAATTGCATAACTTACACCCCTGAAAACAACCGAGACAATAGAAACTAACTTAATTTCAATAAAACGTCTCAGATATGACATAAAACATTGTTTTTTTTTGGATCTTAATCTTATCATAAGTTTTCTGTTTGGACCAGACAACTTGGGCTTAGCGCTAGTTCTCTAAAGAAATGAGATGTAAACATGATTTGATACGAACGTTCCAATTCACAAACATTTAAGACTTTTCTTCTTTCTGAGACAACCTTCAGATGCCCGGCATTTCTGTGTGCGGACCCTGTGAGACTATTCTCAGGAGGAGCTGAGGTACTTACAGTTTGGGCTTGGGCTTGGTTGCCAGGGGCAGCTCCTTCACAGCGGAAGGTGTGACTGGAGCAGACTGGAAGGAGGCATTCATCGCCTTGGGAACCCCAACGGCCTGCTGGTTACTGTGGACCCCATTGGTCTTCTCCTCCCCTAGGCTGAAGCGCTGCACTTTTAGAGCCCCCACGCTGGGCCAGATCTCCAGCTCGTTGACATGAAGACCCTCTCCAGAGGAGCACTTTGGCGGGAGCACCAGAGAGCTGATTTCTGAGGGGGGCGGAGGTGGCGGGAAGGACTGTACGTCTTCCAAAGCAGAGTCTTCAGCTGAAACTCCATTGCTAGAGGGCTCTTCGGTAACTGTTTGGCAAGAAAGAGCGATGGAAAGACATTTATCTCCCACTTTGGGTTTGGGGTGTTGGTGATGGTGAACCACCGCCTCAGGATCAGAAGGGGAAATAAAAACTGGATACTGTCATTGTTAACTGAGCCGGATTGGCTCCCTCAAGAATCACCAAGTATTTCCTTTTTATTTAGAATTTATACTTGTTTCTGTATCCAAAATGTTCAAGTGTCGCCTTTTCATTTCTGTCACTCAGCAAGTACGTGTTCTTCAGGCTTTCCCTCCTATGTCTGATTTTGTTTTGCTGTATTTACCCTGCTAACTTACCACATTATGTGTGTCATTCACCTCCAAAATAATGAAATGTCATTCTACCGTTCTGGTTTTTAATTTACCATAAAAGATACATTATCAATGAATTCAGAACAGGGTGAAAGACGAGCTGACACCACAGGGGATGCCTATCAAACGCTGGGCACACACACACAAACATGCACATGGGGGGCAATTTCGACACGCAGGTTAACTTGGACAGCAAGACCAAGGTAACCGGAGCACCTGGAGAAAACCCACACAGATGTGAGGTACACATATAAACTCCACACAGGGGAGACACCCCATGTCCTGAATCAGACCCAGGACGCAAGGGCTGTGCGGCAGCGGAGCTAACCATCATGCCACTTCTCCTGCCTCCAACAATAATCAATACAAATGATGGATCGACGAGTACCTATCACAACAAACCTCACTAGTTATTTCCTGCATTAAATAATGCTCATTAAAGATGTTTGTCAATTCGAAAAAACGATCAATTTGTGATTTCATCTCCATTTTGAGAAAGCAACATGCATAATGGAAGATTTGGTCAATAGGAATAAAAATCTTGCAGTAGGATGACATCGATAATACATTCTCCTGCAGCATCCTCCAGGAACACTCCAGCCATAACGTCAATGACAGAAGCAGTCCTTCAGTGAGTGCAGCTAGATACAAATCTAAACCTGAGGTCACAACAATAAAAACAATAACAGCACCAATCCCAAACCAGAATATTTGAACATCCTGGAAGGTTAAATAGGCCGAGCAAATTTGCGTAACTTTGGACGGTAGCCTAAGAATGTCACAAGGAGAGGGATTTGAGCATTCTTCAATAAATGGGCTCGTTTGTGAGGAATGTTAATGAAGCCAGCAGTGCACTGGCTTGTCCCTCACCTGAGTACACGGCCAGCTGAGCGGAGCAGCTCACTGAGCCAAACCTGTTACTGGCTGTGCATCTGAAAACACCTCCATCTTCAGGGAAGGTCTCAGCAATCACCAGCGTACAGATCTCCTCTGTAAAAGGGAAAAAAAAATACAACACAGAATTAATACCAAATCTATTTGAATTCCACTTATGGTGCAGCCATGAGCAATTTCTCAGATGGCCCTAGTATTTCTTTTTTTGTACTTTCTATTGTTGTATGTTGTATTTTTCTTCCAGTTTTTGAAGAAATGTCGACTGCTAAAATACATTTTACCTCCCACCCTGATTGTGTATTTTCCGTAGTGCCAATGGAGAGGTATAAATTCTTAGACGAACAGATGCAAGTTAATTTCTCCCCCATTTTAAATTCAACCTCTGTAACTTTAAACTGATTGTTAAAGTTATAGTATACGATAAAGAGGTCCAATTTTTTTTTTTGCTGTATATTCAAATTCATAAAATCCTTTCTTGGGTTCCCTCTACTTTTAAACTGCTGGATAAACTGAATTGTGTAATGATAAGAATTTGCTTTCAAATAAATAGGGCAGGTTATCAGTTTCTGAGAGATTTAGTAGATTATTTCAAACATGGGCTGCAACAGATGGCTTCTATGACTAGTCGTTACACTTCAGATAAGAAGTATCTAAAAACAATCAAGGCAAAAGATTAATTAATTGACTACTTAATGGGTTAAAATTTGTCAAGAGCACTTTCACAAACACAGGGTGAGCCAGCTCCCCTTACTGAATGTTTATTACACAGACATCCTTCAGACATATCAACTCCATCAAATGTAAATTAATTCAAGAGATCTGGCATACAGAAATATGTGTTTTATTAATGTTGCTTTCCTCCATCTCATAAATCTGGTCATTTTGTCATGCTAATAACAAATATACATCCAGACAGTTACGTAAACTGAAAAGGCAGTGGCAGTAAGCACACTGATTCATGTTCAGCAGACAGATCTTTGTGGGGTGTTTTCTATCTAAAAGAACAATGATGATCTGGGTTCTACCAAGACAAATTATCTGTGACAGACCAGACCACAAAAATCAGTTTCCCATATAAGAATAAAACACTAATAACTTAATAATAATAACGATTATAAAAAGGGCATATCACTGGTACTATCTGGACAAAAAAGGCTGAAGTTAATTTTGAAAGCTCAGAAACAAAATTATACATTCCAGTTTCTACAGAACTGCTTATATTGTACAAAAAACAAAGCAGGAATTGGATCACTCCAACATCATAAAACCCATTTTGGCCTGAAGCAAGACTCTCAATAATGTAAAAGTATTATTCATTCTTGAGTATCCAGTGCCTTTTCATGAGTCATATAATATATTTCTCAGACACACAGAAGAAGGGAAGGATTTAGCGACAGCAGTTCTTTTAACACCTGGTTTTCCCTGTTAGTCACCCTACCAGCCTTGCTACTGCTTAGTCTCTGGGATCTGAAATCTCCTTCTAAATTGTTTTCCACTGTTGAATATTGGTTTTCCCAAGGTGAATGTCTGTATTTTATTATTGTGTGCTAAAAGAAATGTACGTATCTCTCGTAAATGATATGTGGAATGTCATCTTAAATTACTCTTGTCATTTGATTAGATAAAAATATTTTTTTATTTAATTAAAGAATAATCTTCACATTAGAAACAACAAGATAATTAGCAATTTCTTTTGAGCTTGAAAGCAAGTAGAATTGTATTAAAGTAGTAAACTAATTTTAAAGCATGACTGTATTTTCAAGTAAACGATACACAACTTTACAAAGACAGATCCAGAGAGTGATATGAAAGTACCACTTCAAAAGGTAAGGAAACTACTAATTCACAAGTCTTTTTTGATGGAAAGAACAGAAAAATAAGATGACTCTTACCAGGTTCTGCAGCAGATCGAGGCTCTAAGGAAAAGAAGAAAGTAAATGTTGAGGAATGAAATGTACAAATGTAGACATGTTACACAAACTTTTTATTTAAAATAATACAGTATATTCGGAACTACAGTGTAACTGAAACAGTTATTAAGTAGTTAATAAAAACCACTATAAATAAAGTAAATTTCATGTTCACTCAGACTATTGTTGGAGAGCTCATGAACTACTAGTGATAAAGGAAAAATACTTTTGTACTTCATATCTTTTTTACAGTTTTATTCTATATCTGCAGCTTCATTTCTTGACTGTTACAAATCACTTTGAACTCCTGTAAGCAGCTGTCTGACCAAACAGCTGGTAAGACTGGTAAAAGTACATGACCTATGACTTTTTTTCTGTACTCTATTGATAAATAAGCATTTTTAGAATTCCTTTCTTAATACTAGGTTAAATATTTATATTTGTGCACCAAGTGATTTGTCTTGCTTTACAATACACTTGTGTTTATAAGGCAAATTCAAAAAGCTTTGCAACTCATCTCAGCATATTTAGCTCATTTGTCCTTCAGATTTGTGATTTATTAATAACAAAATCAGTCATTTCTTTTAAGAGCATTAACAGCAGATTCCATATGCCAAAGTAAATAATAGTCAATCAGGAGTAAATCTGGGGTTTGGGGCTCAAACACTCGTTAATAAATCACACTCTGTGAAATCCTGGTCTTGCAAATTGAGTCGCGGAAGAAAAATAATGCCTGAACATCTGTCACATGAAACTGGGCTAGCAGGTCAGCACACTATTAACCAGTGATGGTAGTTTTGTGTGGTACATTATCCATTAAGTACAGGTTCGAATTCCAGAAGATGCTGGCCTTAATCTTGCCTCTAAAGGTGAGGTGAGGGTTTTCTTCAAGGGTGGATAATGAAGGGGTTTTTCATTCTATTAATTCTGTTTTGGTCTCAGTATCATAGTGGTGAATGCTTATTTGATCACCAGCAGCCAGACAGGAAAAAAAGCTCCTGCTGTGTTTTAGCATTAGACTCCACTTTCTGTTGGCAGTCTTGGTTATCAAACGAAGGTTCTGGGAATGCATCGGGTAGACGTTTTGAGCGTGCCATGGATAATTGCTTATAATCCAACTCTTTTGCGATGTGATCCGTGATTTCAATGCGACCTGGCATGACCTTCTTCTCTATCCATTTTTCATATGTTATGGAAGCCGAAGAGAGTCAACCAGACAATCAGGAACAGCTTCCCTTAACACAGAACCCGTGCATCCAAGGATACACTTTGCAGTGCATCCTTCCTTGCACACAAATGTGATGACCACATGATCTTTTGGCTTTGAACTGTCATTCAACCAGGCTTGGAAAGAACATAATGGGATGAGTCAGGCACACTCAGGAATATGAACATAAAACCAGGCATGAGCTCTCTATACTGTACGCATGCATCTGCACTGTATCTTTCTATAATGCTTATTAACAGCACAACAGCAACGCCCCAAGAATGTGAGCTGAAGAAGCTTTTGTGCGCCCCTCATATTGGTGTCAGTGGGAGGAGGACAATCCGGAGAGTGTGCAGCTTTGTGTTTGGCGGGCTCACTTTTCTGCAGGATGCGGAAGTCCGGAGAGTCTTGTATCTCCTCTCCCTGCCTGTACCACTGCACACGCAGTGGGGGGGTGCCCTTTACTCGGCACTCCAGGACAACGACTTGGCCCTCTGATGCTGTGGCATCTTGCAGCGGCTGGAATGAGATCAGAAAGATATCGTCTACATCTCTGTGTTTCTTCGCATCTCATCAAAGCCACAAAGAGTCTCATTTTATAGCATTATTTATAGACAAGGTACTATACATTTACAGTATTACTAGGTTGTCGATCTTAGTAAAAGTGTCAGTTAGAGCCTACTGTATATACTGTATTTGTACCCAACTGATGAGCAAATCCAAAAAATGTCAGACAAGTCAACGTACAGTACAGTAGAAAACAACTAAAAATATACTTTTTGGTTCTAACATTTCTAGAACTATACAGGCAAAAGGGCCATACCACATTTGTTTTTAAGTCTGGATGACATCTGTTACTCTTCCCATACAGTGACAAGGGGTAAGGTCCAAGTATCAGCATTTATTTCAACAATCACTCCATATAAATTGAAGCAATATGTAACCCAAGCTGTTATTCATCCCTTTCATTCACACAAATGTAAGTGCGGTGAAAATGAAATCATCTTCTTTGTGGGTGATTCCAAAAACATTCGAACATCTTTTTGCAGAGCAAAGACGTTGCCAGATGACACAGATGAACTTCCGTTCATCCCAATGAAATCTGATTACTAGATAACGATTATGATAATGAACAGTAGTTTAGCTACTTCAGAACAAGACTGATGGATTGCAGTGCCATATTTGTCAAATACAGTCAGGGACACATTAATATAATGTATTCCTGATTTAATGTAACCTGACAGCCTTGGGTTTATAGCAGAGCATTCCTGCACTTTACTGAAGTTTTTTTTACGGCGTACGTTAGCAAGCATTTCCTTTCCTAGCAAAAAACAATAACACAAAACATCTAAAAACAGGAGCTCAAAGAAGAAAATATATTAAAGATAGTATCTGATCACATTCTCATAGATTTTGTAAAAATGTGACCTTCCCTTATTTCTCATGTAAAGACTACATTTCCTATCAGTTTCTGGAAAGGAATCCTGAGTGCAATTTAAGGGACTTTCACTATCCACTCAACTATTAATTTTTTGGGCTTCTAAAATGATGTTGTGCCTAAACATTGCTAATAACCTTCTAGTTTCATCACAGAGAATGAGCAGTTAAAGGCTCAATGGCTCATTCACACCAGTATTCTTAATGCAGTTTTTTAAGCCACATTACCCATTTGCAGGAGCTCCTTGGTGTCTCCTACTCCTTAGAGTACAAATTCATACTGGAAATCACAATTAAAATTGAAATATAATTTGCACGATTCATTCATTATTAAGGATTCACTCATTCAATAATGGAATTATGCAGATGCTAAACTATATGGTGTCATGAAAAGACTTTTCACTGCTCGACATTTCTGTCAAAATATAGTCCCTGACAAAGCAGCTGCCCCACCAAAGTGCAAGGCGATTGAAAAATTCCCACAAAGGACACATGCAACTTGGATCCATAACATGCTGTACGTATCAGCCTTTTCAATCGTGTGACTGACTACGCTTAGCTGACACTCCGCAGTGCACAAAATATATGTTTCCTCCACAAAACAGACATCAATCTCTCTGGCTATTTCCTGTAAGTTGTCAATCTGTTAACTTTTAGTTGGTCAGTAAATATTTTGGTTTACTTTCTAGATCCAGAAGCATGAGCACACAAAAGCTCAAAACGAGTTGTTATACTGCTAGGTTTCCACTCATTGTGGAATAAAAAGAAGTTCATCTTTACTTTTTAGTTTTGTATGGATATTCACATGCTAATCTAATATTGTCGTGACCACTATCACACAAATATAAACTTATTTATAAATAATTGTTTACAGTTGGGTAGGAGCTGATTGAATGTACAGTATAATGCGTTCATTAAATAAATCAGTTTTTGGGGTTGAGGTTTAATTATGGAATGCCTTTGTAATTAGGCTTCTGTTTCCATTATCTCAATGACATTTAAGTTGGCAATTAATGATTGTAATAGTGAATCAATGGTGAAAGCTTATTAATTGTAACGTACCTTAGTGAAAACTGGAGATACTGCAATAGGTCCATCTTGTCCAGAGAGTGAAGAAACTGGACTCTGCACCTAGCCATGTAAGAAAAAGTAATATGCAGTCTAAAAATCCCTTTAGGCAAGTATGTTTCTAATGCTGTACAATCGGTCACAGCAGCTTAATGCATTTATTTCCTTTAGCATTTAAAAAAAAGTTACACTTCAAAAGAAATCCCCCCTCCAAAATAATGCCATAACTTAGCAATAACCTTTAAATGGCATTTTATCTTCTACTTTTTGTTGGTAGGAGCCAGAAGAAATGTTAAGTGATGAATGGATGAACCCTATGGTGCCGCATAATGGTAATCTTGTTTAAATTATATTTCCTATTCATCTGTACACTTATCATTTCTAAATGAGTATTGATATTAATGCTGCTTGTCGTTCCTTAGTAGGAGAAAGAAATTTGGAAGACAGCATTATACAAATCATAAGACAGGAGTATGTTTTTTTAATTGAGATTTGAGGAATCTACTTTTGTTTTTAAAGATAGCTTGTGCTTTCACTGTATGCATATACAGTATATTAGACCTGAAAAACTACTTCCCGCACTTTTTAAAGAAGGAGCATCAGAGGAATACTTTAAACAAGAACACATGATAGAAAGGGCATCTGGGGAGCTTCATGGATCCTGATTAAGCATTAATGTGGGCAGAATACTCCAACCACTTCCCCCACACATTAAATATTGTCACTTCCACAGAGGCCATACCGAAGGGGTTTCCTGGGTTTCCTCATCACCGCTGTTATTCAGCTAGAGAAAAACCGACTTAAATGTTCCAAGGCCTTCCCATGAACCTTAATTATGCATTGCCTGTAAAGACGTATTAATGGTGTCAAAAGAGCCAGACAATGAGCAGAAAATGGGTGTGATTTGTACGAGTACAAAGTATGGGCCTTGTGCTCCTTTGCTCTGAAACCTCGTACAGAAACGACCTGCTGCTTGAAAGAAAAGGTCTGAATGGGAAGACAGTTGTGTCAAAGTTGTCTGTTTTATGGTTGCCTGGTTGCCTGCTAGCCAAGCTAGCCAAGCGTTGGACCGCCAAACGAACCTGAGGGAGTTTGAGCAAATTTGCAGAGACGATGGGCAAAAACCTGTGTCGTCCAAATGTGCGAGGCTGGTAGAAACTTAACCAAGGTGACTCATGGCTGTAATTTCTCCCAAACCTGCTTTAACCAAATATTGACTCGGGGGGGTGAATGCTTCTGCAATCACTTATTTTCTGTTTTGTATTTACAATTAATTTCTGTAGAATTCTGTTTTCAATTTGACATTACAGAGTGTTCTGTGTTGATCAATGCTGAAAAAAATCCCAGATACATTCCATAAAGTCCAGGGAGGGTGAATACTTTTGATAGCCACCGTATGTCATGTAAGCCTGCAGGAGCAGTCGTTACCCGCTGGGCAGGAGCAGAGAGAGGCTGGATGAGGGTCGAGCGATGTGGAGGAACCTCTGGACTCTTGGCTGTGGGAGAGCTGATTGTGAGAGACACAGACGTGGTTTTTTTCTGCGCCCTAAAATGACATGGATTACAGAGGCTCAGACCTTCTTTGCACGCCACCTAATAAAAACAATCAGAATTCTTTGTTTCGTAAAGCGAGGCCCAAACCTCCAGCGAGTAACAGCATTAAATTGAGTGTTTGATGGTAAACGGACCTAATCTCAGAGCTTATAATGTCTGGATCTTTTTGAATAGCCTGTTAAGCAACTAATAAGAACATAAGAAAACCTGTCATTGCTACCAAAGTAAGATGGTAAAAGGAAAAGAGACAAAAAAATTAACAGAGCAAAAAAGAGTAGTCATAGAAATATCAGAGATTAGAGTGGGGTGTAATGTATATAGCAACTATATACTATACTAACCAGGTTAGAGACCTATCGTGTTCTAACCAAAACAACGGATTAGAGAGAAATAAGAAATTGAGGCTTAGCTCAATGACAACCGCCTGCAAACGTCCTTTGACAGCCATGTTAGCATGAGCTGTGCTGTGAAAGACCGAGCAGTGGCACGGACTGGCGCTGTGCTGAGACACACGTACTGCGGCATTCCTCCTGTGTGGGCGTTCAGTGTGGATCCTTCCCCTTCCGAATCGGAGGACGATGCCCCTACATCCATGGAGCGGGAGAAGAAAGCAGGAGAGTAATGAAAGAAAAGTTCTCTTGGTATAAAAAAAAAATTCTACTTGAATACCCAGACTAAAGCCTTAAAACTAATTAAAGCAAGATGCAGCTTTTGTAATTGTGTTTTTGACAGTAATTAGATTATCTCTGACTAGTTTAGTCTTGGAACATGTTCTTCATGTTGCTTGCCTGCATGGGTTCCATTTAAGAAGAGAAGATTTGGTTTGTTTTCAATTTAATTTTCTAAAGACATGATATTCCTCTTGTATTACAGATTTTTTTTTAAATAATGAAAAGGCATTTATATTAGAAAGTTAAAGAAGCAACATAGAGCAGGAAGGATTTTCAATATGAGGCCTTTCCAGTCCTGTACAGTACAGTACACCACTACACCAGATACACACTGGGAACTAAATTAAACAGAAATTAAACAGACTGATATTCTGTAACTTTTAAAATCAAGACACATTCCCACAAAACCCTTAACACCACTTTCTGGGATGAATGCCCACAACAAACTTAGAGGAGAAATCAGTGTCAAATAATTAGCATAAAAGTAAAATACAGTTCAAAAACAGTCAACAGGTGGCATATCTACCTGCTTATGTACAGTATACACTTGAGAGTCAGACCTTTACTCTTGTAATGCAGGCCTTTATCAACAAGAATATATTCTGCAACAGTAAATTTCATTACATGATTTTGATGTAATATTTGCTATCAGATCATCTGGAGAATTCTTGTAACAGTCATTGAATATGTTTATATGACCCCTGAGAGAACCCAACTCAAACAACCATAGTAGCTGATGAAAGAACAAGAGGAACTGCATTAGAATTTAAAGAATAAAAAAGTCATAAGATTGTCTGCATTGGTGATTATTACCTTTAACAAGTATGATTTTTACTTTTAGATAGGAGTTGCAGAGAATACTCTGCATCTCTTCCTATTCACCTTTTACCCCATGATATGCCATACAGTATGTACTGTATAATACTTTCGAAATGTGCACTGCAAACACATTTAGAGAATTACTGTACACCTCTGAAAAACATATTTAAAAGAGCTGGTACCGAAAAGGAAAATACATCTGTATACTAACAAGTAATGTAAAAAATGAAGAGCAAACGTGACCAGAAAGAGAAACCGAACCACATACCTTCAATATAAACTTCAGCTGATGTATTATCTGATCCAAAAGAGTTTGAAGCCACACAAGTGTAGCGCCCGGTGTCGTCCTCAAAAGCTTCAGTGATGACTAACGTGTGAAGATCCACATCCTGAGAGATCTGAATGTCTGGCGAATTGTGCAGCTCTTTGCCCTCACAGTACCATCTGAAGATTAGTCAGAGAAAGAGAGTGTAAGTGGTACAGACAAGCCTTTTAGACACAGACTCAGTGTACAGCCGGCTTCCCTTTCTCTGAATACGACACTTCAAACGCTGGTTCATGCTGCCTCATTTATCACATAAAAGACGAGCCACATCTGCCAAAAGTAAAAAAAAAAAATCTTACTTCCAGTGTGTCTACCTGTCTTTATTGTTATAGGAGGCTCACCCTGTTTTGCCTTTCAGCAGAGTCTGCATAAGGGTGCCCAAATTTCCTGACCTGATCCTGACACTTCCTTTTCCCCACACTGGTGCTATAACAGCACAGATTCATCATTCATTGACCATCAGCTGAGTTCCTGTCTGTGTCTTTTGAAAAGCAGCTTGTGCACATGAAAAAGCATTTAGTACAGCACTGCCAAAAACTCTGCTGTGAGAATGGAGCGGAGACGTGCTATAGGGTTTCTGGCAGTATCCTATATATTTTAAAGTACGACTTTTAATGAGGTCACAGCAGAGAACAACGAAAGGCCTCTGAAACAAACGTATGTTATATTCTCTCTGTATCCTCTATGGAGGTGTTACGCATGGAAACTTAATATATTTGTCAGCTGCTACTATCTTCAAGACATAAATGCAGTGCTTGAAACTATTATCCTGACATGACTTTCCCTGAAACTTCTTTTCATCTGTTTTGTTAAAATCTAGAAGAAAATTACCTAAAAACTAGAAAACGGTATGGGCAGTACTTAAAATAACGATCTCAACTGATCATTTCCTCCAGTATGTTTTTACGAAAAGTGGAAATAATACCAAATGAAAGACAATTT